CTTATATAATTAACTGATTTAAAATTATTTTTATGATAAAAGTTGTTAATTTCTACTATCTGTACAGTTACTTATTTAACTTTATATTCATTATAACTTAATAATTTTAGAGTTCATTAAATGGCTCTGACTTTATCTTAAAATAAAATAAATTCATCAGGGGTTAAGAATCAAACCACACACATAGTAAAATTTTTATTCATTTTTTCCCCAAGTCAAAAAAACAAACATAACAGATTACATAGAATGAGATAATGACTGGATTATTTTACAGTGGCAACTTTTAAGTTAAATCTTCCTTAAACTAAACGACTGAAGTTTTTCCTCAGCTTGAAACCCTGCGTCGCCTCAGACTCTCTCATACACACATGCGCGCTCACACAAACACCCTGGGAGTCCTGTTTGATTTGAACTGACTGAACAGTTAAAACACAGCAGCTGGATGCAAAAACAGTGGACAAAAAAAATCCATCAAGTCCACCGCATTAAGTGCAATTACTAAACCTGCTTTGTGTCGATTCAGTCCGATGTGAACTAAAAAGCAGTTTTCACTGCAGGACTCCCGATCTGAGCTGATATTGAATCACCTCCATCATCACAGGAACAGACAGGGGGAAATACAACCAGGAAACACTGATTTTTAGAAATGAGGCTCACGTGTGGATGAGGAGGACAAGGCAGCAAACTGAACGAAGTTAGCGATGAAAACAAAACTCATCATATGGAGGGTTTATTAAGCTGAAAAAGATCACACTAATGTAGTGTTTTGTTATTAAAAAGGCCAATTTGCTCAGAGGGGAAAAAAAGGTTAAAATGCTTCACTTTCCCCTCTCATGAACTGAATACTTGGTGACGTCTCGAAGAGAACAGAATTTTCCGTCAAGACAAAAAGCTCTAAGATGGAAGGTAAAAATAAAAACAAGCTGTCCTCCTCGTCCGCACACGAGCCTCCTGAAAACAGGGACTATGGAGTCACCCGGAGCAAACAAGAGAAGAAATGAAAACATCAAAATAAAATCACAATTTTTTTTCTCTATTTATACTCAACAGGATAACTTCTTTGAATAAACTGAACAGTTCAAATAAAGATTTGCACACTTCAGCTATCAAAATTGACAAAGAAAAATGAGCTAAACACAGGAGGGATGATTAAAATGYATCAACATGTGCCACTTCATGAGGAAAAAGCTAAACAAAAGCAGCACAACTGAACTGGTGTCCTTCATCCAACATGACTTCACAAAAATCATAAAAAAACAACAGAAATAAATCCCCATTTCTTATTAGAAATCTGATTCTTCTTTCGATGTAGAAGTCTCTAAAATGACAGGACAGGATGCTGGTTTGAGTTTTTTCTGACATCTTTCAGGTGTTGAAGGAGGAGGGGGGGAGGGGGGGAGGTGAAGGGTACATAACGTTCTTGTAACGTTTCTTAAATCTGTGCACTTTCGCAGATGATGCAAAGCTTTTTCTTTAAGACAACATGAACTGAAATCAGTTTTACGCACACAAATAAAAAGTCCCCCAAAAGCATCCAAAATGTTGAAGAAAACAGCTGAAATATCACCGAGTAAAGCCTAAAGCTTTACTTTACTGTTGCGTCTTTTTACTGCCTGTTTTAGTGATGAATACAATCATCCCGACATTTACAGAAACAGAACCTGGAAGCAGAAACACTAAAAAGGTTACGGCAGACTTTTCTTTTCTTCACCTCCTGAAATATATATTTGAAGCTCCCTCTCTYTGTTTCCTCTCAGGAATATTCCGCCTTACATTTAAAAAAAAGAAAGAAACTATTTCAAAAAGGCAACTTTCCCCCCCATCAGGCAAAGCAGTTCAAGTTTTTTTTTCTTTACAGAACAGTTTTGTAGATTTCAAAGGGTGGGATTTGGGGTAAAGTGGGGAGGGGAACCTCCRCCTGTGGTTTAAAGGCATCGCCACCTCCAGCGAGTTCAAGATGCCGTCCAGTTGTTGACCATGAGGTGGCGCTCTCTCAGCTGCCTCTCCTCCTCACCACCTCATCAGTTGTTCTCCTCGTCACTGTCGTCAGGGCTGATGGCCGGGCTGTAGGTGGGGGAGGTGGGGCTGTAGCCAGGGGAGGTGGGGCTGTAGGTGGAGCCTTTGGGACTGGTCGGCGAGTACGTCGGAGACGTGGGTGAGTACTTAGGCGAAGTCGGGGAGTATGTGGGGGAGGTGGGCGAGTACTTGGGGCTGGTGGGGGTGTAGGTGGGCGAGGTGGGGGAGTAGGTGGGCGAGGTGGGGCTGTATTTTGGGGTCGTCGGGGAGTAGGTGGGAGAGGTGGGGGAGTACTTGGGCGACGTCGGAGAGTACTTGGGCGAGGTGGGGGAGTACTTGGGCGAGGTGGGGGTGTACTCCGGGGAGCTGGGGCTGTAGGAGGGGGAGGTGGGCGTGTATTTGGGCGAGGTCGGGGAGTACGAGGGGGAGCTGGGGCTGTACGACGGCGAGCTGGGCGTGTAGGTCGGCGACTGCGGGGTGTAGCGGGGACTGGAGGGCGAGTACGACGGCGAGGTGGGSGAGTACGACGGCGAAGTGGGGGAGTAGTTGGGGCTGGTCGGGGTGTAGTTGGGGGAGGTCGGCGAATAGGAGGGCGATGTCGGCGAGTACGAAGGGGACGTCGGGGAGTAGCTGGGGGACGTCGGGGAGTAGCTTGGTGACGCCGGGCTGTAGCTGGGCGAGGTGGGGGAGTACGACGGAGATGTGGGGGAGTAGGAGGGGGAGGTGGGGGAGTACGACGGAGACGTCGGGGARTAGGAGGGAGACGTGGGGGAGTAGGACGGAGATGTCGGGGAGTAACTGGGCGAAGTGGGGGAGTACGAGGGGGACGTGGGGCTGTAGTTGGGGCTGGTGGGAGAGTAGGAGGGAGAGGTGGGGGAGTAGGAGGGCGACGTCGGGGAGTAGCCGGGGCTCTGCGGGGTGTAGCCGCCGGGGGAACGGGGCTCGTAGGCRGGGGAGGTGGGGGAGTAGTTGGGTGACATGGCTCCGCCTGAAAGAGGAAAACATTGAAGTTAAATCAGCTTTGATCCTCCGGCCACATGAATTCAACCCAKGTGTGTTAGAACTCTAACAGCTCCTACGCTTACATCATATGTAGTTCCCACACCTTGGTCAATGTCAAATTCAAGGACCTTTCAAGGACTTTCCAGTACCAATTTCCTCAAATTAAAAGATCCACGCCCAATGGCAATTACCTACTRCTACCTCAGAATGTTACCAATGAACAGGTTTAATATGTAAATTCAATGAAAAACTKAACAACATAGAAGTTGTTGAGTCAGAATCAATGAAGGAAAGTAGATTAAATGTTTACCCTACATTCATATCTACAATACATGGACATGTACTGTAATTATGTCCTGGGAGGTTCAGCAGCTCAGTTGCGGAGGAGGGGATGTGAACATGTCCAAACCCTCAGTGAGGACAGGAGGAGCTGTGGWGCTTCACCTGGACTCAGAAAGAAGGACCCGCCCTCCTCTGTTCTGATTGGATAAAACTATGACTATGGCTCACATTATTTGTTGAAAGCCACATCAGTTTACTGTAATCCTGAGATATACGCCGCAACAAATTTGTTTTTATAAGTTTTACTTTAGAATTTTTTTAAAGATGAAAATCAGTCGTGTGACTAGACAACTTTAATCCCCAAAAAAACTTTCAAGGAAGTGTAATTTTTGGCTGTTTTCACAAACTTTCCAGGGTCTTGAAATAATTTTTTCAAATTCACAAACTTTCAAAGATTTCAAGGACTCGTGGGAACCCTGTAATATGTTTAGTGTAAAACCGTGTCTGACCTGGTGAGGGTATGTATGGACTGGCAGGTCCTGGAGACCCTGGAGATCCCGGCGTGGGCGACCAGGCCGGGGAGTAACCTGGAGAGAAGCCACTTGCATCTGAAGCCGCGCTGGGAGAGAAGCCTGCCGCTCCGGGGGTCATGCCGCTTCCTAAGAGACAAGAAGGAAAATATAATGATGGGGACAAACATAAAAGATGGGGAGAAAAAACAAAAGAGCCAAAGCACTGTGGGAATTTAAACTCACCAACACTGGGGGACCAGGCACCGTAGGCTGGGGTGGCCCCTGTGTTCCACGGCGTCATGGCAGGAGACATACCGCTCATGGGGCTCGGTACCGAGCCGAAGAACATTCCAGTGGCTGCAAATAGAAGTATGCAGAATTTTATATCTGGTGCATCATATCGACAACAAACTCGCCTTTTTACGCCACATAGATCTTTCTCCTCTTACGTCCAGCCACGCTGATGCCRGGTATGTTTGTCGGGATCTCCATGCCGTATTTGCACTTCTCGGCGTCCAGCAACAGGTCGAAGCAGCCCGTTCCTGCAGGGGCCAGCTGGCCGAGCATGATGTTCTCCGACACGCCTTTCATGGGGTCGCACTCTCCGTGGGACGATGCCTCCATCAACACGTCCACCTGGAGCAGAGATCGAAACAAAGTTTTTTGTCACCCAATGATGGCACTGTTTTCAGGGTTTCGTTTATGTGGTGCTTTCTGAGTACATCACGTAGGCCAGACAAATTTTGCGATGATTTTGGGATGATTTAGAAACAAATCTTTRTACCGTCTCTTCAAAGGAACACTTCATGAGCGGTCCTGTGTCTTGACGGTTGATGCCGTGACGGGTGATGGCCATCAGATGACCGCGGCAGGTCATGGTGTCGCAAAGCAGAGCCAGGTGACGGTAGTTGACGTAGGAGCCGTCGAAGGAGATGACGTGGAACAACTCCCTCTCCAGCGCCTTTCGTACTGCTTCAATCCCCAAAACCTGCGCAAAAACACTTTAAATGAGCGTGAAAACAGATTTACAMTGAAAGTGGAAAAACGTGAACGCTTTTGTACCGTGAAGATTTCCACAATGTCGTTGGAGGTGGTTCTGACAGGATCCACATCCTTCTCACTGAGAACCCTCATGAGGCTCACGCCGTCCGTCTCCAGGATCCACTCCTGCAGGGCCTTGAACTCTCCGTCATCSGTGATGATGATCTTCTTCTTGTTGTCAGTCTGAGGTAAGTGCATGTACACCTGGAAGAGAAGAGTTGAAGGGTAAACCTCCAGCCACAGAGGCGGTTTCTCCTCTCTCCGTTTCCTGCTGCACTCACCTTGCTGATCTGCTCGATGCCCTGCAGAGTCATGTCCGTCAGCATGTTGGACTCGATGCACCTCAGGAACACGTCGTCGTCCATTTTGTCCACCACCTCCTCGTCCTGGTGAAGACACAATGGTTATGTAATCCAAAGGAAAACTGGCTTCAGTGTGAGTTTAATTAAAAACCATTTCTCACCTCTTGGAACTTRTTCTCGTCGTTGTTCATGATTCGGATTCGCAGCACAAGCTTTTCAGCATTGTCGTCATTGAAGATGCAGTTCAGATCATCTCCAAAACCTGAAATTAAAAACAGAATCACAAGGTCGTTAGCAAAGTGGCTTGTTTATGCCTGAAGCGCTGAACTTAGTGTTTAATGCGGCTCACCTGCGTTGATCTTCTCTGCGATCTGCTCCATGGTCAGCTTGCGGTCGGTCATGTGCTTGCGGTCGAGCTCRATGCGCAGCAGCCACGGTGAAATGCGCGTCACGTCGAAGTCTGGCATCTCGTAGTAGACGTTCACCCACTCCTGGTCCTCAGCCACCACTGTGTTCTGAGGGTTTGGGTCGTAGTAGATGGCGGTGTTGGCAGTCACCTGGAAGAAACGACTCGTTTTTAATCCCAGTCTAGAAAGATTTCAAGAAAAATCTGAGCAACTGCTCGACGTTTCAACAGACTTCAAGCGTCTTTATTAATACKGCAAGCAAAGAAAACACATCTATATAAACTACCTAGTGTAAACAGAACCAAGATCTAAAGGAAAACTTYGAAGCTGCTGCAGTGATGATGCAGGAGGCGTGGCCTCTGCTGAAGCATGTATGTGTTGTCGCTGTGACGGAGGCTAAGCTAAGAAGCTAACCGGAAATCACATGTGCTGTAAACAACCCTACTGAGAGGAGAAAAGTACCAAGCCGAACGAGACGACTGTAAATGAGAGCTGCTGCTTTGTCAGACAAATTTATTTTAATTTGGAAGCCTTATCAACACAGACTGGCTTCATTCACTTCCTCCACTGCCGTATGCTAAAATAACTAGCAGACACTGCGCAGAATATCAACATTGTTCAAAACTCCTTCTGTTCTCTGATTGGTCCAGGTAAAATAAACTACAAGCTGACACTGCGCAGAAAATGTATGTTCTGTTCTCTGATTGGCCCGGCTAAAAATCTGCCAACGAAATCCTTGTTAATGGGAGAAGTCCCAGACAGAGCTGAGAAGAGAAACTAGAATTGAGCGGAGCTGCGTAGGAAGGCAAGGGCCAGGCTACTAAATTTTAGACAACTTACGAAAATTTAAAGACATCTAAGTTGAAAATGGAGTTTAAAAAAATCAACAGGAAGCCTCTTTTAGGCGTGTACGTACCATAACACTAACAAGTTGATCAAATATATAACTTTTATTAGTAATTTAGACATAAACAATTGCAGAAGTGTTCTTACTTTCCGGAGCGTGGTGTGCTCCAGGCGACACAGGATGTCCTTGGCCCGCTCAGCGTCACGCGCTGCCTGACCCAGCAGGAAAACCGCCAGCGAGGGCGTCTTGGGCCTCTTTGAGATGTTGATCAACTCCTTCAGACGAGGCACACCCAGAGTTACGTTCTTGGCCGACACACCGGCGTAGTGGAAAGTGTTCAGTGTCATCTGTGTGGCCGGCTCTCCCAGTGACTGAGCAGCCAGAGCACCGACCATTTCACCCGGATGAGCCTGCAGAAAGAGAAGCAGCTTTAATGTTTTCGTCTTTAGCGTTTTATTTCAGAGCCGTAAAAGCTGCGAGAACACATCTGAACGTACGATGGACTGGTTGAACTTGGTCTCGATCTCGCCCAGCAGCCACTCAAAAGCCTCGGTGGAAAGGCGGAACTCCTCTGTCATGCGTTTGGAGCAGAGCGTGGAGCGCAGGTGGATGTTGAAGAGCAGCGTGGCGTTCTCCTGGGCCTGTCTGCTCAGGGGGTCRTCGCCGTTCACAATGATCAGCTTCTTACTCAGCTCCTGAACGCCTGCAGATGAAAAGGAGACGTGTTGGCATAAATACGAGCAGTTCTTTAAACCTGAAGTGAGACGTAGATCCAAGCAAAACAACAAACACTGATTGTTGATGTTATTTATTTGTTTTACAACAGATAGGTCAGCTTTAACACTTGAGGTCAGACCTCATCTTAAAGAAAATTAGACATTTAGTAATCCTCTGTCTGCACAAGACCAGTTCTGCGCCACCTTACCCTCAACCACTCTCAGAGGATTCAGATCTGTTGGGGTTCGAGGGTTGATTCGGAAAATCTTCTGAGCGTTCCAGATCATTCTGGCCAGGTTGCATGGCAGCACCACCTGCAGGCAAGAACGAGCATTGCAGAAACATTAAAAACATTCAAGTTGTCATATTTGAAACACTCTGAARCATCAATAACTGTTTACCGTGAAGCACAGAGGTTTATCAAAACCCCTAAATCCTCAACTACAAGTGTATGTATTTATTTAAATATATATATTCTCAGTTTGCTCATTTAAGTACAGACGCCACCATCTGTCACTGCAACATCGTTGTTTTTTTTTTTTTAATTTTTTGATGGGTTACACTCACCTTGCTGTCGCCGGTAGGGAAAATAGCTCGCAGAATCTCCCTGTCCTCCTTCATCTTCTCAAACTCCCTCTCCAGGACGCTCTGCACGTGTGCGTTGGTCTGCACGTCTTTCACCACGTCCTCCTGCAGGATTCGCCTCAGCGCTCGCTCGTTGGTGCAGTCGAACTTGAACCTAAATGACATTTAAAAAGCACAGTTAATCACTGTGCTTAAATTCGCTGCGAAGACATTTGTAGGAGGACTGACTTCTTTTCGAAGGCCTTGTGCGAGGGCTTCAGTGTCGCCACGTTTTGGAACTCGACGTTCTCTCCCGCCAGGCCGTCCTCGCCGTAGCGCAGCTGCACTACCTGGTTGATGGAGTTCCGCACCGTGGCGTCGTACTTCACCATCACAGACTCCATAGACTTGATCAGACGACGCTGGATGTATCCTGGAGTGGAAGAAAATGATTTTTTTTAAATAAAAAAACCCAAAACATGGCATTTTGTTCTGGTACGATTTTGCCATGGTCTGAACTCACCTGTCTCAGCTGTTTTGACGGCCGTATCGATCAGACCCTCTCTGCCACCCATGGCGTGGAAGAAGAACTCTGTCGGCGTTAATCCGGCCAGGTAGGAGTTCTCCACAAAGCCTCTGCTCTCAGGACCGTAGTCGTCTTTAATGAAGTGAGGCAGAGTCCGGTGCTTGAAGCCAAACGGGATTCGCTTACCTTCCACGTTCTGCTGCCCCACCACGGCAATAACCTGAATGTTCGAGACGGTACGTCAGGTGATCTGAGCTTCAGTCATACCTAAAACCACTTTCTGTGAGAACAGTGAGGAGTCCCACCTGTGAGATGTTGATCTTTGAGCCCTTGGAGCCGGCCACCACCATGGACTTGAAGTTGTTGTACTCGGACAGAGACTTCTGGGCCGAGGACCCCGTTTTGTCACGAGCGTCGTTGAGGATACGATTCACCTGGTTCTCAAAGGTCTGCCTCAACGTATTACCGGGCGTCGGTTCCAGCTCGTTGTTGTGAGCTTTCTCGATGACCTAGTGGAATAGAAAGGGAGAAATAAGACACGGCCGGATGAAACTTACAAAAAACTAGGGCTGGGTTAAAAAAAAATATTTAATCGATTCTCGTTCAAATTTGGGAAAATCGATTCACAAGTCATGAGWTCGATTTTTCTTCAAGGGTGTTGTGTGCAATGAAGCTGCGCATTTCCATGCTGTGTGTCACTCCTGGCTTGCATCTAGTTTACATCTAGTTGACGTTCAGTGCTAACATTAGCTCCCGACAACAAGTTGTCTGGGGCATGAGAAAAGAAACAAAGGAATCACTAACATTACAGCTGATTCTCAGCTGAACTTAAAGATAACAGAGGCCATGACGACTTTTGTTTGCAAAGATTTGCACACGGGAAACAAAGCTTCGAGCGGCTTGAACCAAAACTATGGTATGTAAACATCTGAAACTGTTGTCCTCAGCATGTATAAATGTGTGAAAGATGTCAGTCTAACAAAATTGTTTAGTTTTGTTACCAATGTTATTTTAAAAATTAATAAACATCTTAATGTAATTCACAGTGATGGAATGTTTTAGCTGAAGTACTCTTTTTTTCTTCTTGTTAATAAGTTTTATTGAGCAGAAGGGAACAGAAACATTACAAATATACAATTTTCACACACTCAAAAGAGTGGACAGAAGTAAACACTTACATTATCCCACCTCTTCTTCTATAACCTTATTCCATCACTTCTTAATGATCAAGAAAATCATTCTTAGTTTTTAAAAGCTAATGTATCCAACAACACTTTCTCTTGCAATTTCTTTTTAGTTTAAACCCTTTGAAACTTGAGACAGTTTTGTTTCAAGATTAAACTCCAAATGTACAAGTTTGCCCTTAATGTTTATAATTTTACCAATGCACCAAGTTATAATTAGTTTCTACTATTTACAGAATTAGTTCCTTTGAGAATGTCTTACATATCAAAGTAAATGTGTTACTGCATGATATCCTTAAATAACAAAAAAAAAAAATCAAACTGAATCGTCCTGAATCAAATCGATTTGAATCGATACCCAGCCCTACAAAAAACTGTGGGTTTTATGGAAGATTAAAAAATAAAAAGACGTATTCTTACTTCTATCACATCCTGTTTGGCTTTCTTGATGGTATTCTGGATGTCCAGGTATGTCTTGGCATCAGCAATGGAGTCACCAATACCGATTGAATGACCTAATAAAAAGATCTACATTGAGAAAATACCATTTTACATAAAGCATAATTTTAATCCTGTTGATTTCGTACCCTCGATGAGCAGCCAGTTGTTGACCACCGTCTGAATGTTGGAGTAGAAGAGTCTGGTGATGTCGTGACCCATCTCCAGGTAGGAGATGTGGACGAGGGAACCGGCGGAGGTTCCCAGAGACTTCTTACACAGGATGCCCATAATCAGCTCTCCGTTCTCCACTATCACCTGCACAGGAGCTTGGCTATCAGTTTATATCTTTAAATCACACTCAGAGAAAAAAGAAATAGAGGTATGTTCATACCTTGGTGTCGCCGGGTGAAATGTGTTTGTAAGGCCCACTGTCCTCRTCGTCGGGGTGCGTGCTGTGTGTGCGGATCACATTAATGTGACCGGGGATGATGAGGCTGAAGACCTGCTTGCCTGTCCACAAGGGGCGGGGCTTGAGGATGGCGGGCTGAGGCATTTTCCCATCCCAGGTGGAAAGGAACATGAGGAGGTTCATCACTTCGCCCTGTTGGGAGAAGAACCAATGTGCAATAAATGAAAAGATCTGGAGGATGTGAAAAGAGGACCTAGCGGTCCTGCTGCTCACCCTCTCTAAGAAGACGTCTCGTTTGGTGAATTTGCGAACAGCCGTGAGGGTGTCCTGCACAATACCCATGACGGGCCTGTTGGACTGCGGCGTGACGATCATACGCGGCACCATGGCCAGCTCTTGAATCTCYGCCTTTGTCTCCAGAGACTGAGGCAGGTGGAGGTTCATCTCGTCGCCRTCAAAGTCAGCGTTGTAGGGTGTGGTGACACTGGACAAAACAGAGATGAGGCATCAAACAACTCTAAAATAATCCCAAACAACCCTGCACTGTGTGACAGGACCGCAGGTTTGAATTGTGAACAGAAATCTCATTTGGTACCTGAGGTTGAGTCGGAACGTGGACCACGGCAGAATCCGAACCCTGTGGCCCATCATGGACATTTTATGTAGTGTAGGCTGTCGATTGAAGATGACGATGTCACCATCGCACATGTGTCTTTCCACCTAAAACAACCACATTCAGTCAGATGTGAATTAAAATCCTTTAAATACCGTGTAAAGTAAAATGTAACATTTTCTTTTTTAAACATTATAAATGTCATAAATGGATTGTTATAAATGAGTACAAATTCTCTCAACTGTAGATATTTGAATAGTGGAGATATGATTCGATTTGTGTAACAAGGTATCTATGTTACAGGATTTTTTGGGCGTGTCTTAAAGGGCAGCATCGTGATGTCAYGCAGCTGCCTTCAGTATAACCCCGCCCCCTGTTGCTTTAATGGAAAGGAAAACAAACATTGTTTCCTCRGTTACAGGAATGTTCAGGGTCGTGGGCGTGGTTTGAGCTCCTCCAGAGGACACGCCCCCAGCATTCCAGACCACAGCTAACTGATATTTTTTCATTACTTTTAACACATAATTTTATAAGGTTAACAGTATTTTTAATTGTTCAAACTTGGYTGGGTGATTRTTRACATATATCKCTGTGGTGTGACAACCTCAGAACACACATTTATTTTTACTTTACACAGTCTTGAATTTCATGGCCAAACAGTCCTGTYAGCATTGTTTGGTTGTGACCAATCGTTTTCAGCTGACCTTGTAGCCGATCTGCAGATGAAGGTCACTTGGTTTCGGGTGGAACCGCAGGTCAATTCTGTCTCCGTTGTCGCGGATGATGTATTTTGCTCCAGGATACTGGCTGTTGCCTCTTCGTACCAGCTCTTGCAATCTAACAAATGTTTTCAGAGCTCATTACACTCAGATTTACCATGCTTTACAGATGAGACAAAAAAATCCCACTTTGACTCACCTGTCRATATTAAAGGGAGTAACGATCTCTGGGAACGTCATGTTCGCTGCGATGGATCGCGGCACGCCCACTTGGTCGATCTGCAGGTTAGGGTCCGGGGTGATGACGGTTCGAGCTGAGAAGTCCACACGTTTGCCCATCAGGTTACCCCTCACTCTTCCCTCCTTACCCTTTAGACGCTGCTTTATGGATTTGAGAGGGCGGCCAGACTTTTGCATTGCCTTGAGAACAGAACAAAAACAAGACGTTAAAACCTACAGCAAATAAAACTGGATTCTCTTCATCAGATGTAAACACATACCCTGGGCAGGCCTGGCAGCTCGTTGTCGACCATAGTGGCCACGTGAAACTGAAGCAGCTTCACATCCTCGGCGATCACATGAGCAGCCGCGCCGCTCTGCTCGTTTCTTCGCAGCTGGTTGTTGATCTTGACGATGTCCGCCAACTTGTGCGTCAAGTCGTCCTTTAAATGAGAAGTCAGTTGGTTTTATAGCTGGAGACACTTCGCTATACTCATGCAGGCAAGAATACATGTGACCCATTGTGGCAAAATTAGTCTTAATGAGCTCCAACTGTCCTTTCAATTGTTTTTTTATGTTTAAATTGGCCGTTTTTCTCTGCCGACTGCTGTAGGATCAGGAAATCCCTTTGTATTGTGAAGCTAGGAGGTTCCTCTTTTTGTATATAGAGCAAACATTCCAGAGGACATTACCTCAGACCCATAAAAATCAAGTTTTCAACTAAACTAACTTATTACAAGGCCAGGGTATAAATCACCAAATGTAAGAATTCYTCTTTCAGCCAGCACAGGTCACTTTAGGATCACGTTACTTTACCTGGTTGCGAGCGGATCCTTGCATGACCACGGCAGGCCTCACAGCCAGCGGAGGCACAGGCAACACGGTGACRATCATCCATTCCGGTCGGGCGAACTTGGGATCCATGCCCAAGATGATGTCCTCCTCGTCCGAGATGCGCTTGAAGATCTCGTGCACGCGCTCCGGACTCAGCAGGATCTTCTTCTCCTGCGAGTCYTCGTTGACGTGCTTCCACTCGGCGTACAGCTCCAAGCCCGAGCGTCTGATGCGGGGCTGGTAGCGCCCGCAGCCACCGTGGCCCTGCGTCACGGCGAGGTGATGAGTGTGAGAGGAAAACAGGAGCCGAAGCGAAAACGTCAACAGCTAAAGCGAGTTAAACCCAAATACCTTCTCCTTGGTGATGTCCTCCTCCGTCTCCTGTGGCTCCATTCCAAACTTGTTGTCCATTTCCTCGCCTCCTTCACAAATGTTTTTACCCTTGCACAGCTCATAAACGTGGGTTAAACGCTTCCTGGGCTGTCCTTTAGATTTCACAAGGATTTCCTTGATCTTGGGGTTGTTCTAGAGTCGGAAAAGATACCAGAATTTTAAAAAACAGAAACAGAAAGGATCTTCAAGTTCAGTTTGTCCTGAAGCACTTACGGCGTCCACCAACAATTTGGAGCAGAAGAAGCAGACACATCGGAGGATCTTCATTATCTTTGTTATAAAACCGACGTGGAAAACTGGTTTGGCCAGCTCTATGTGCCCAAAGTGACCTGGGCATTCTGTCATGTTGCCTGAGAGAGCGAAATGGAAGTGATGTAAGGTTGAGAGGTCAGATAGGGATCACTGACTTATATTAATAAGCATTTGTGGAGAAATGAAAGTCAAACTGTTTCTTTAAATTCTAGGGTTCAATTATCAGAACAGGTTTTAAAATGATTAACAAAAACACAAAAAAATTCCCATATCATTACCCCTCCACTGCCGTGCTTAACAGTTATTATGAAGTGTTTGTACYAGGGCTGTCAAATGATTAATATTTTTAATCTGATTAATCCCAAAGTAGCTGTRAATTAATTATGATTAATCTTAAATTTAAAATACATTTTATTGCATATAGATAAAATAAATTACTTGAGTTATTAATTAGTTTTTAAAGTTTTTATTTAGAAAACAAAATTGATGCTTAGACCTGATTTTTTTGAATATAAAACAGGACCTAAAAATGCTCCAAACATATCTGAGTCAGTTAAATTTTGTGCAGAATAATGAGGTTAAATCAAGAATTCAAGGATTTTCATTCCAAATGTGTACTACATGAGGAATGAAAGATAGATACTAAGGTCACAGCTGTCAGCAAAACATAAATAAATAAAATAAGCCATAAGACAAAAAGAAAAAAAAAACTGTACATAGTGTTACACATGGAGTTTTTTAAAATATTATTTATTTAACCTTTATTTATCAGGTAAACTGTTTGAGAACCACTTCTCATTTACAAACATGACCTGGCATGCACTGAGTGCATTGCAATATACAAACCTACATATTCAGCCACAGTAAAGTGATTGTAAATTTTAATCACGATTAAAATTCTTATGTCCATGCAGCACTAAAATTAATCAGTTAACTCAATTAATTTCACAGCTGTAGTTTGTACCCCAGTTGTCTTGCCATATTCTTTGCTGAAAGGATTTCTTTAAAAAATCTGGACCATTCTAAATACGCTGGACTTAGTTTTTCCTAATTGCTCTGTCACAAACTTTAACCTTTTATCTGCCGACTGAGGCGCTCTTAAGAACAGTTATTTTCCTCAAAAATCCTACTGAAGCAGCAAAGATGGGTTTCATTTTCCCCACTTTTTATTTRGTTTATGATTGTTTAAAATTGACATTGTGCAAACTAAAGAGTGTTTTCATACACTTGAGGTCAAATCTGATTAATTTTTCTTACATCACAACACATAAAACCCTAAAATTAAATAAGAAGGAACTTTCTTTTCCCGTGCCTACATGTTAGAGTGACAATCTACTGTAATGCGTTACCTGCACAGGTTTGACACCTCCCGCTGCGTTCTATGACCCCTTGCCTYGGATCCATAAGGCCACCAAGTTTGGGACGTCCTCCTTCTGTGGTTTCGGGGTACTTGATTCCCCCCTCAGTCACTGACATTCGTTTCTAAAAAATAAATAAATAAAAGGCACAATGCTGAAACAAATATTGCCACTGGAATACCTAAAATGTTATTAGACATTTCTGACAAATGTGCTTATAATAAAGTGTAAAATAGAAACTCTTATGTTCACTTATTCAGAAAAAAGAAACATCTAAATGCAGATACAGGGCTGCATAATTGTTATACATGAATGATTTCATGAAAACACGTCTAAACACTGACTTCTATCAACATTAACTCACGTTTAAATAAAAAGGTACATTTCTCACTTTATTGAAGCTTTTTATTAGTTTATTGTGCCAAAAATACAAATCACATTGAAATTACTACAAAGTAATCAAAACGTTAATTAACATCAGGGCCTAAATGCTACATTGATTAAAAGGGGGGTTTGATTCATATAAAATATGCATGGATAGTTGTAGAATGTGTGGTGCTTTAAGTTTTCTTTTACTTCTTGCTACATGCTAGTTAGCAATGCTAGGCTAACAGCAAGTCATTTCAGCTGCAAACAGACCCGTGTTTTTAGTTTTAAATGTACAACTATTCCAGTAAAACATAAAGCCTGCAGTAACGTGTCACCTCTTCGATAGTCAACGAATTAAAAATCCCACCCCGAAACAGAAAACCTACAAGTTCATCTGGACTGATGATGCCGAACTGAACTCTCTTGATCGTGCGCAATGGGCATGCGCTGTCGCCGGAGGGCGGTCCGTGCATCTTGTCTATTCAAAGAGTCGAGTCCTTCCTCGGCACGCCGCTTTGGGAGCAGGAACAGCCGGTAAACTGCCACCACGGTTCCGGCGAGGCCGCCGACGGTGACCGGAATATCTCCAAAGGCGATATTCCAGGGACCTCTGTTGTCAGTTGCCTTCGGAGAGGAGTAGCTTATGTTTATTTCCTACATAGACTTTGTACTAACTGCTCCCTCCCCTTTTCMGATCTACCAACTGGAGCGCTCTGAGCGCTACTGAAGGTTGGAAGCTCCAACGCTTCGTTATATAGACTGAAGGAGTACTACGGGGTTGCCTACTCCAAAAGACAGGGTCTGTTACTTCGGAAGGAGGGACTTGTAGCTCAGTAGTAAAACGCTCATTGGCCATTCAACACAGCTATATGAATAATTAACTCAAGTATGCGTACAGCCAATTAGCGTGCACGTTCRTTTCGTCAACCAATCAAAATTGAGGGCGGGTGTTTGTAAAACGTAAAATACTTCCTATTGGTTKCGGTGAAAGTGAATGGGCGGGTCTTAGTGTATTTTGCATGCAAACGCTGCATATTCCATGTAAACACTCTGGATTGGTTGTATTTTCAATTAATATTTAACAGTAGGAAAGAGATGCCCAATGGGTACGTSTAAAGTAACCTCATTGGAATAATTTAATCCAAAAACCACCCAGTTTCCGATGTTTGCCGAGTACGGCCGATGTGACTTTCTTCCCTCTGAGCAAAAATAAAAAAAATCCCTGCGTTCTTGTTCGTCTCGCTCTGGATCAGCCTGGGTTCTAAAGAAAAGAGCCTCAGAGCTAAGGCCTGTAATGTCTTTGGTGAAACTAGAGGGGGGAAAATGGTGAAACATGTTTTATTTTTTCCTCAAAACATGGAGAAACGGATTATTTTTAAGCCATTTTAAGAATATATAGACTTTTTTGCGATTTCGTTGGGCGACTTTTCGGATCTGTGGGACCTAACCGCAAGCCTCGGACTCAAGTAGGAAGGGTGGCCTGCTGTCGGGAGTGGATTTTCCGCATGCCCCATGGGAAATTCCGGGCGAAGCCTCGACTGTTCATTTCACGCTTATTTTTTGACATGACTTTATGACTTTAACAAATACGTACCGCGAAAGGGATTTCTTTCATACGGTACTGTTGGATTGTGATTAAGTTTTTAATATTTTTGTAAAAATGACCAAATGTGTTGTAGGCCACGTTTGGAAAAGCAGTAGTGTTGACGGTAGAGGTCTGACTTTTTATTTGTCGTAGCTATTTATTTGCCTAAGTATTATGTAATGTTGACTAACATGTATGATGGATAATGTATTTATTTCTTTTTTCTCTGGCTTTATTTTTTAACGAGTGGTCATTCTAGCTGAAAGTAGTACGCCTTATCACGACAATGTATCAGCTAAACACCCTCTATGTTTGTTGAATCTCAAATATAGATTGTATTATTATTATTATTATTATTATGTATAGCGTATTTTGAAGTTATGTTCGCTACCAGGGCCACGGTTTACGTTAGTTAACGAGGTCTGACGATTTAGGCTAGTATTAAACGTTGTGTTACAACTTATTTAACTAACCCGCTGCTAATGTGAGATGGTTATTCTTAATTTTAAAGTCGATTCGGTTAGATTAAAGTGGGTGAAAACGTCGTTTTTTTAATGATATATTTATTTTATTTTTCTGATGCTACACTAGCTTGCCGCGCTCAACATGGCGGMGCTCGGGAGATACGCTTCTTGTTGTGAACGAGGAAAGATGGAGTCTGGAATATTCTCTTAGGCGACTTTAAGAAACAAACGGGCTCATATTCGTAAACAATATCAAACTAACGGGGTAGAAAATGAACAGCTGTCTGGGTCGACAGTATAACTTCGTATCGTTACAGTGGTTCGGTTAATAAACGKCGAATCTGCGCGGAAGTCTGCTTCGCAAAATCGAGTTCTCTTCCAGTCGAGCTGTAGCCATTTTGTTAGCTTATCTACGCGCTTTGGTCTGTTTTTCTGAAAATTATGGCCGCTGTTTGGSACAATATTTTATTATAAACTGCTCTATGTGTAGTTGTTATTATTAGAAGGACGTCGTGATTTATTACAGAGTCGTTATTAAAGTGTAAGTAATATATATTTCAAATCACAAGTCTATTGTGCAACAATATAAAAGAACCAAGCAGCGTTTATCTGTAGCTCTGTTCACCTGAGCAAAGCTGTAAACTGGTCAAGGTAAGATTCTCTAAGAGCTATAAATTCTGCCCCATCAATTGCTGTTTAATAAATGTATTAAAACATGTTAACATGGCTTAATTCTCCCCAGGAAGTTGAAGCTAAACTGTTTAAACCACAATATATTTGCATTATTGTAACTAGTTTAGTGTTTTCTAATGTTTCAAATGTAATGATGTAAAGAAATTAAATGTTTCATGTATTTATTGCTTTAATTTATTAAAATAAAGACACTAAAGCAACATAGTGGKGTATGTGTTTTTATCATATTGGGCTCATTTGATGTCATTGTGCCAGTGATGTTAGCATACCATACATATGTTAGAGTTAATTAGAATTAGGATAAAGATGAGTTTTATTTCCTGTAGTATAAATGTGTTTTTTGTATTCTGTTTTTTGGTCAGGTCCCTGAAGAAAAGCATCAGTGAAGCTCAGAGGTCAGATAGAAAGCACATCTTCACTGTCCATAGGTATTCAGATCATATTCTGTGTAGTTATCATAAAGAGTTGTGTGTCTGACAGCTCAGAGAGAAAACGTGACAGTAAATCACTTTGTTCACCATGTGCCAAACCATGAGCATACAAAGGATTCCTTTTATTGACCAGTTGGCTCCCTCCACTGGTTCAGAGTGAGCACGACCACCGCTGCAAAGAGATATTGCACAACCACATGTTCATGGACCGAAGCTCCCCGGGAGGCTGTCAGGACGCGCTCCCTCTACCGCTTCCGGGAAGTCGGTGCAGAAGCGACACAGTGGTGTCAGGTTTGTAGCCAGGGGGACCGTTAGTGCAGCTGTCAACAGCTGTAAAAATGTCTGCGCTGCCTTAAAGCACCACACAGTGTCAGATTATAGTTTATACAAAAACGTTATGTAATWAACATGGCAACATTAGCTAGGCTAAGACAGAAATAACAATTCATGTTTTACTAAATTATAGAAAATAACTTTCAGTTGATGCCCTTGAATAAGTAAAAAACTTAAATATTAAACACCAGTGTTAAAACTATACTGTACCAGTGTTATCGATCTAGTGATAAATTACAGAAGTTTTATTAAAATAATGATTCACGTTGCCAAAAAGTGCCTAATAAAGAGCAGGGGTTCTCAAGCCATTGGGTCTGGGGTCCCCTTACATGGGTGAAAAAAATTCCAGGGACCCCCTCATAAGCCCCATGCTGTTTTTAAAAGACAGTTTATTGTCATTTCAACCCCTAAATGTCATGGGAATATGTACACTGCTCAAAACATAAAGGGAACACTTAACGCACGCTAAGTCCAAGTAAATCTAACTTTTGTGAAGCACATTCAACTCTGTACAGAACAAAGTACTCAATGTGAATATTTCATTGATTAAGATCGGGAGTTAGCGTGCGTTGTTTAAGTGTTCCCTTTATTTTTTTGAGCAGTGTATTTTTATTAAGTTTATTATATTAGTTTTATTAGTTCATTGTTCTCCATGCATTTTTAAAAATAAAAACCAAATTAACAATTTAGTTAAATTTTTTGAGGACCCCCAAGATACCTCTCACGGACCCCAGTTTGAGAGCCTCTGAACACAGAGTAAACAAATTTGTGGAACATAAAAATATGAGTATAGCACTAAAAACCATTTTATCAAGAGTACCTTTAAAATAGTCTGCAAACTAACTGATTAAAATCAATTAAAGGTGCAAAAATTACAACAAAATATTCAGATTATTTCTCCTTACAAAATATGTTTTATTCATTTCTGGCTTATTCCCTGGCCTTTGAGTAAAAAAAAAACCCACTTATATAAATAATAATATTAAGGATTATAATGGGGACAAAAATAAATTACGACCTAATAATAATTAGTTTTATTTATGGTAACGCGTGTCTTTGAGGGGTGAACATTCACATATGTAGGGGGAGCTCTTGTCTGGTGGTGTCGGTGTGTTTTCAGGGTCTGCTGAGGAACCAGGAGGAGGGGCCGCTTCGTAGCACAAATAAAGGAGGCGAGCGCACACACGACCAGCAGCAGCAGCAGCGTGTTGGTAAGAGGAGGAGTTGCATATTTCCTGCAGCCTGAACTAAAAGGCTGAAAACTTTAGCCGATTTGCAGAACCATAACCTGATCACACAGCTGTTTGTTAGGTTTATTTTAGAGCTGAGGAAAAAATATCAAGATCAAGAATCATTTATTGTCATTCAAACACAACATCAAGATGTAATGCAGAACGAAATTTGCAGTTTTGAACATCTGTCCGGAGAAACACACACACGACAGACACGGGGGAACGAATGTCCAGGGCCCTGCGCAACGACATGCACTGCCTTGCAGTTTGGAACACACACACACACACACATGAAGGATGAGTTAAATATAAGGGATTTTGTAATTTTTTTTCTTTACTGCTTCTTGATGCTCGAACTTGTAGCCCCAGAATGATGGGACCGTGGCACTGACCGCCAAACCACCACGTCCCTTTAGTGCATTTTACTATATGGACATAAAAAGGAGGGAAAGTTGTGTTTTCCCCTTTAATTCTGCACCAGGCTGGTGWTGTGTTATAAAACTAGGTGACGCAGAGTCGGAGGCACGGCGTTCTCAGAGCTCATCAGAACAGGCCGGCCCCGTTTCCCTCCACGAGAGAATGTCCTGTTCTCTCCGTGTTTGTTTTGGCCGATGTGAGCCACTGCCGGGGCGTCTTCATCTTCCTTTCATCCTCCCCTCCATCATCCAAAACCTCTCTTTGAAGCACCCCCTACTTGCGTTCGCCGTCGTCTTTTTAGACCCCCACCGTCCCCCCTTTTTTTTCTCCAGGTGCTGCTTCTTTCTGCAGAAAAGACAAGAGGGTAACGTTCGGGCGGGATTCGATCCAAAGGGTTTCATCCAAATGTTTTCTTTCCTTTCAACCACTTCCTGGAACGATCCGGGTTTGCTAAATTAATTTCTCCTGATCCAGCCTCACACTTCAATCAGCTTAGTGCTAATCTCGGACACTTACAGTGCAGCCAAGTTTCATCTGCCGCTCTGAGCTGTCCAGTTCTCTCTCTTCCCGAGGTTTTGACCCCTGGCACTGGTTTTCCCGCTTCCCCCTCTGTCAGGCACCATTTTCATTCACTTCTCGCTCATTAAGCTTGAAGGAAGCTTCTTTTTTTAACGCTGGTTGTGRATCAGCTTGGCCTTTCTCCCTTTTTCTCCTCATTCAAACATTGTTGTCATTTCATTGTTTTTTGTGTTTTTTCTATTTGCTTGGTAATCCCTGACAGCCTGGACGGTTTAAACTATCTTTACACCATATCTCTCTCTCAGCTTCGTCTTTCATGCTCTTCTTTTTTTTCTTCTCATAAAAAAGCATTTTTTTACACAATTTTAGCAGCATCCCCTGGCAGAGGATTGTGTTTTTGCTCGTGTGTGTCTGTTAACAAAATATCTCCTGAACTCCTGCACAGATTTTAGCAGAACGCTCTTAAAATAATCATCAGGTGTGAATCTACAACTGATTACGTTTTGGAGTCGCCCAGATTCAAGATGGCCGTCACAGCTAACTGAACTTAAAAAACAGAACAATGGTTATAACTCGGTGTATTTTACAAATACAGAGCTAAAATTTGGCGTGGTAGTAGCTGAGGTTAATCCTCCAAAGCATTCTAAAGGCTACGAAAGTGTGCAAAATCTTTGTTTGAAATGTTGCCATTAACTGTTTGGARTCAGTTCTGTCTGTTAGCAAAATRTCTCAAGAAACACTTCACCGATTTACATAAAATGAACAAGAATTATTAATTGGATGCACTTCTAGAGTTGATCAGCCTTTGGAGCCCACCCAATTAAAGCTGGCCACTGCAGCTAACTCACATTAGAAAACACAAAAATGTCTAAAACACAGTCAGTTTCACAGATATCAAGCTAACGTTTAGCRTGTTAGTAGCTGAGATTAATCCTCTAACACACACACTGAACTCTAGGAAAGTGTGCAAGATCTTCTTTTAAAATTTTAACATCAACTGTTTGGTGTCAGTTCTGTCTGTTAGCAAAATATCTCACAAAACACTTCATACATTTATATAAAATGAACAAGAAATATTTGTTGCATGTACATCTAGAGTGAATTAACTTCTGGAGCTCAAACAATTAAAGATGGCCACTGCAGTGAGCTCGCTTTAAAAAACCACAAAACTACCTAAAATTCAGTCAGTTTGATAGTTATCGAGCTAAAGTTTGGCGTGGTAGTAGCTGAGAGTAATCCCCAACATGTAATCTGAGTGTTGAGTCTCACGAAATCGAATTACCTTTTTTCGGTCTTTTGTCCTGTGTGTCCCCCCATCCCCCCGGMGGTGCAGCAGATTTATGATTTTGTTTTTTTTTTTATTACGATGTCGTCATAACTGTCTTTGTACTTTCCTTTTTTCCAAAGCTGTGCTCGGCTCACCCTCTTTCCGGAAGGCTCTCATTGAAGTGCCTCTGTGCTATTTAAAGAGGTGTGGGGGGGAGGGGGGGTTGTTTACAGTTCCTTCAAACTACAGGCTGTCTAGAAACAGGAAGTACCATCGCCTCAAAGCACAGCCGTCCTCAGCCACTTCCTCCTCCTCCTCCTCATGGCTGAGCAGCAGCTCCAGCAAAACAACCCTCATGCTTATCAGAGAATTATGCACCCCTCCCCTCCGCTGCCTGTCCTCCTGAATGGTGCACACACACACACACACACACACGCACACACCAGGCTTTTCAGTCCTCCACCGTGTCCTCTGTCGCTTTTTTTCCTCTATTCTCTTGTGCCTGCAGTCTCTCCTTGCCAGTACAGCATGCCTGAGTAGCTGCCTGGAGATGAAGGAGCTAATTAATTTGATTTAGCCGTTCTCTCCCTCTCTAGTCCTCTTTCTCAGGCAGTGGAAAAACCAGCCGTCCAACCCACCTCCTCCTCCTCCTCCCCTTCCACACCATATCAACATAACACCCCTCCCAGATGATTTTCCACCTATCCTTTCTAGTCTCCTTTGGCAACGTTCGTGCTCCAGCTCTTCCATTCCTATTTTCTCCCGCCGCTCCCGTTACACAATCATGTGCCGCCGACTTAAACTCTCTCACGTTGCCCATATTCACCCATAAATGCTCTCGTTTTCCTCCTCTGAACCCAGAGACAGCTAGTTGTTGTGGCTCGGCAGCGCCTTCTTTAGCCATCTAAAAACAGGCTTGTCAGGCTCCGGTGGACGAAACCCACTTTTAGTGTTAGTTGAAACTTTGATGGATCCACCTATTGTTTTTTTTTTTTTCCAGGCGAGTTTAGCACAGCTGTGTCAAACCACATGAATCTTGCTGCTTGGATGAACCTTTTTATCAGACTTAAAGCGCTACGCTGCGTTTCACTTACCTCTGAAGTCGAACCTGACTTCATCGTTCTCCAGCTGCAACATGAAAAAACACAGACGGATTTGATAATTGTTGTGTTTATCGACAGGGCTCRCTAGCAGTACAAGCCATGGATTTCCATACATGTAGACAAACAGCTGCTAATGTTGCTAATCTAGTAGACTTTTTTCAACTTCTGTGTTCAAATAGATCTCAGAGATAGTTTATACTTTTTCAAGTAGGGTTCCTGTGGAAATGTTATAAACAATTAATAGTTTATGTGTCGTAGAAAACCTTTTGAACAACCTCAGTTTGTATTAACAGAGTTTAATTCTGATTAGAATGAGCTAACAGCTAATCTGAGYGGAGCCGAGACCTTAGAACATCTCTGCAACAAACTAATTAAATTTTAACACAGCTATCAGTTTTTTTATAACATAATTGTTGCACAAATATTTTGATAAAACTGCTAGAGGTGCTCCATGTTTCACCGGAAGGACTACAGCTAGCTGCTGTTGCTAACTGCTAACAAATAAACCGTAGAATTCTGTGTGAACCGTGTAATTCACAAATGACAGCGATGTAAATGTTTATAAACAAATATGAAGTGTTAGAAACTTGAGTTGTTTTGAGGTGGCGGGGGTCTGCTTTAATCTCAGCCCTTTTCAGACTAGCCATTAGCTCATGAATTTGTGGAAATGTGATGAGAAGTGGCGGCTGTGGCTAAGAGCAGAAAGTCACGTACAATGATGGTAACACATTGCTCTTTCACTTTCTCCAAACTGAAACTTTTCATTAAAAAATCTGTCTACAGCAGGTAAGATATGAAGTGTTCATATTGTCTCCATCAAACCCCACTTCTAAGATCAGGACAGTTCCTTTAAAGGACATGTTAAGTATCTTTAAATGATGCAGGGCTCTTATAGAAATCACCTTTAATGCATTGTTTGAAAGATGACCATATAAATTACAGTTACATAAAATGTTTGAAATCAGTTTGATTTTTAGGTTCCTTGAATACCTTTTGTGACATTTAGTTTATTATGAGAAAAATTACTAAAGGAGCTTTTCTTTTTGTTTTATACCCGCTTTTGTAATGCTTCTTGTTCTGTTACATGTAATTAATTGTCTCTTTAAACAAACAAAAAATATATATACGTTTGCATCACCTGCTATTAGATGTATGGAAGTTATTTTGATTTGTTTCTTCTCTTAAAAATCAAACTATTTCTTTGGGTTTAATGTAGAAGAAGCTGAAATGAAGTGGTTAGAGTTAAAAAAACATCTAAAAGAAGCCGAACACTTGCTAACACCTAAGAATAACTCAAAGCTAAATATAGCAAAAGCTAAAACAACAAATTGGTAGTTATAAGTAGCCGACAAAGTATCAAAAAGCTGACTGGAACCTAAATTATTAAAAGGCAAGTTAAAAGCTAAAGTTAGCTTAGGGCTAGGTAGAAGAAAATGTGTTTCTATGTAGAATAATTTGTAAATAAAGTTTAATATTTTGAAAAGCACACATCTGAATGTGCTGAAGGTTTGGATGACTAAAAAATAATGCAATGTCGGCAGAAGTAGTAAGATTGCTAAAAACGTGAACAACTAAAAACCATAAAAAAGGGAGAATTGTGACCCCACTTTCACATAAATTACCTTTTATAKTTTGTAGGATCACTGATAATGTACAAAAACCCAATTGTTCAGAAAAAATATTTTTAACTTGTCACTTACAAATGCATAGTTTTAGATGATGAACTGAGGTATTTAGCTTGGAGGGGTCTGATTTTTATTAAATTTTCACCTCTGCTCTTACAGATGKCCTTTCAGCTCCACATTGATGTATGATTTTGTTAACAGATAGCTGAAGACGTTCCAGCTTGTCGTCCCTCCTCCTGTCTGCTGAGGTTTCACCGCCCCACCACCCCAACGCTGTGGGATTAAACCCACTTTTATTTAAGAGAGACAAATCTAAACGTGTGCTGCTCTTTTCATCATGCTACAGCAGAACGTCTCCGTGCTTTGCTTTCGTTTTGTGTTTCCGTGCTGATGTGTGTGTGTTGTCTTGCACAGGCCGCAGATGCAGGGACTTGTTGAGTCGGCCCTGAAAAGATGTCGCTTCCTCTTTAAGAAACTGCTGACATCCGAACTCCCTGAACCCACTTTGATCTCAGGCCAAGTCAGCTGGAGAGCAGGTTAGTCATGGCTTCCTTGCACTGACTATAAATGTTTACTAACACACGAACATGCCTCAGGATTTAGTCACACAAGAAGGAAGGAAACCTCAAAGTAAGAAGAAACTTATTATCGGTTGTAGAGTTGTGCGGTGTTTCTGATTGTTTTGCAGTTTTGCTGTTAAACGGCTGTTTTAGACTGAATATCTCATGTTAGGAAATGACAAAGTGGAAGCTGTTTTGGTCAAACTTTGAAAATAACATTATGCTAAAAACTTATGCAGTGTCATGAGATACCATGTTGTGAGTGACTCATGGCTCTTACCACATCTAAATTTAGCTGTAGCTTAGTTATAGCTGTTTTTGTTGACTAACCCTTTCAATTTATCAGTTGTAGAGATGTGTTCAGTTTGTACTTCCTGCAACTTTTAATAAAATGGGTTCTTTGGTTCATGAGATATGTGACCCTTGGGGTCATTCCTATGGTCCCCCTTATGTTTCCTGGTACCTATGTTACCCTACATCCTAGGACTTATGTTTTACCGGTACCTGTGTTTTCCTCATAGACTTGAATATAGATCACTAGACTGAGCCCCGTGCATACCGTCCACTGGTAGTGTCTGTGACAGCATGGAGGACCAGAAATGGCGTCCAAAAAGGGCAACAGCTCACAGCCTCTGTAGAAACTAATAGATAAACAGCAGCTGAACCGGATCTGTTTCACAGATTGTCGGTCATGCTTTTACAATAAATTAATATTAATTTAAAAAATACAATAAATTAATAACTATGTTAATTTCATTCAACAATCATGTAAAACAGCAGATTTATACCAGAAAAATATATAATTTATAAGTAACTGATCTAATCCAGACCTGAAGTCAGCCTGTAACTTAGACTTTAGCTAGTTGACAAATGATGACTTCAGCTAGTAATAAAGTATATTTATTATTTTTTCTCACTGTCAAAAAATAAGAACATTTATATTTTCCAGTCAGCAGTTAGAAATTTTTCTCTGGTTATAGGATGAATCTTGTCTCTATTAGCTAACCATCTTCTTAACAAGTCAGGTTCCTCTAACAGAAACCTAAAAATACTCACATTTATAATATTATTTTACACTGTAGGTCTAAATATAAATCAGAGGACAAAGTAACATTTAATAGTTTGTGTTAAATTGTAGCATGATTCAACAGTGCTAAACTCTGTATATATGCTCCACAAGCTAATATCTGCTAACCAGTTCAATAAATAACAGTGATTACATCGACTTTATAAGATTATTTTCAGGGATGCATGATATATCGGTATTGATATCGGAATCGGCCGATATTGGTAAGTTTTTAGAATATCGGTATCGGTCCGATATGTAAAACTGGGCCGATACTAATGTCCGATATTGATTTCCCACTTTTTAGCTTCCTGTTTCTGTTTTGGAGGGGAGATAGTTGGTTGAGCGACATCTGTTTGATCTTAATAGTGATCCTGACGCTGCGCAGCCAGGAATAACTGAAGTAGGGAGCCGTGTCAGAGGTCTGGTTGTTTATTTACAGTATCAAAAAAAGACCCAAGTGTGTTTGTGCGTATATGTATAATATAATTTGTGTGTTTGTGTAATATCGATAAATATCGGTTATCGGCCATGACAGCAATAATTATATCGGATATCGATATTGGCTGAAATTTTCATATCGATGCATCCCTAATTGCTTTAATTTTAAACTGTTACATTATGTTCTGCTCAGATCACATTGAGCTAAATAAGATCAAATCTGCTGACTTGTGTTGTGAAATGAGACRTTTTCCTGTTTATCTTCTGTTAATAAATCCATAACACAAACAGTTTTTCTGACATTATTTAAAACATTAGATTATATAAACTGTAAAATATTAATAATAATTGGGTTAATATTATTATTAATAGTTTTATTATTTCTACATCGTCCGTCCTTTTTTTCTGCTCTGTTGTCAACATGTACAGTAATGAGAAATCCAGACTCTTGACCGTTTTGCTTTAGCCGTTAGCTTCACCAGCCGATCACACGGTCACCTGGTTTCTGAGCACTCCAGCTGTTCTATAGAACCTCCATGGTTTTCCTCAACAAATGCTCCCTAGTACCTATGTTTCCAGGTACCTATGTTACCCTATATCTATGTTTCCTAGGACCTATGTGCACCGATACCTATGTTTTCCTCTACCTACCGTATGTTCCCCAGACCTACCCTGGTACCTATGTTCCCCAGGTACCATTGTACCCTAGTTCCTACTGTATCTCTGTACCTATGTTCCMCGGTAGCTTTGTTTCTCAGTACAATACCTGCAATATAATTCATTATATTTTTTTCATCTCTGTTAAAAGACATTTGAAGGAGGAGCCGAGCATCTTACATGACTTGTATTATTAACCCTGTGAGAACATAGGCACCACCCTGACCTGAACTCTCAAACTGAGGATTAAGTCAAGTGATGTAGTGGGGTAAAAGGCAAATATAGTGCATTGGTAGAGAAATATGCGATAACTAGAGTTTGTTAAAATAAGATGAATAAATATCTCATCTATGGGTCCTTTGAAGAAAATGTCTTTACAAAAACWTGTACAATAGTTTGTCTTCAGGCCCAGGCCTCCATTGAAAAAGACATCTGTGATCTCAAAGGGACTTGCCTGGTTAAACAACGGTAAAATAAAATAAATAAATTTAATCCAGAAGCACTTTTCTGAGCAGTACCAACAACGTTTGATGGTTTTGAGCGGAAAAGGCCTAAAATTTCACACATTCAAAAATAGTCTTCAAATTACAAAAACATAAAAAATAACGGAATTTTCTTCAAGTTTAACTAACTCTGACCTAATCTCTCATTGGTTGAGATAGGTCACCTGATTTAGTAACAATTACAAAAACAACAATAAAGAAAGACACTGAGTTAAACCTAATGTTTTCACTTTGTGCTTATAAGGAAACTCCAGAGGATGTGCTGAAGTCATGACTCAGATCTGAAATCTGTCCTTGTTCTGACCAGCAAACGGTGCCGCGTGGTTCCAGTAAAACAACTGGATGAGTCAGCTAAAAAGGTCAAAGTTCACCATCTGTCAGTTCCCAAAGTGCTCAGAAACAATTAGACTGTTTTTAGTTTTAGAGCACCAGGCTGTTGTTTTTTATCACCAACTGCCAAAAGGAGAACACAGACAACACTGTTTTTTGCTTTTGTGTGTGTTATAGTTGACTCCTATTACTTTAAACAGAGCAACACAAAAACTACAGAAATGTTCAGAGAAACAAAAATAGGTCTGATGACTCTTAGAACCTAAAAAAAGCATAAACTCAATCTTGATAGGTTGTAATTTATCTAGCCTGCATAAGCACAATAATTTACTTTAATGAGAAGCTGTAAATTCTTATGTAAAACAAAATCAAATAAACCAACTCGCTAAATGACAACTGCTCCGGTTTTCTACCACCTACTACGTGTCTGCTCAGTGCCCTGTAGTGGAGACAACACTAGTGATGGAGATAGACTTTTATCCAAGGGGTGGCCAAGGATTATTTTTTCAAGAGGGACAAACAGATAACGGTTTCTCTCCAATAAGATGCCTTTATTGTTCCATTTTTACATGCATGAGTTCTATGGTAGCGTAGCAWGAGAAGCCGTAATCGACTAAACATCCACGAGGAGACAAAGATGGACAACGTCGTGTCTTAGAATACAGAGTTGGCTGCAGCCACCGAACAATGGCAAGGCTCTTGTGTGGACTGAGCGGCTGAAATGCACGCACACACTCAAGCTATTGTTTTAGCCGACCAACCGTTAGCATCTCACAGCCATGCGCTTCYCTTGACTTTGTTTTTTTGTGCAAGCGTAATTTTATATCCAGTTTTCACACGCCGTAAAGCTTTGAAGACGTGCAGGAGCGCGTGAGAGAGGATGTAGCTTGGCGAGGGGGGTAAAAAGTTTGTCCAACTCTCTCTGAGCCAGAGAGGTCACAGGAACAACACTCAATCCCAGAGCGGTTCCCATGGAGATGAGTGTGGCAGCGTACAAAGAGGGTGAGATAGAGTGATGAAAGAGAGGGAGAGAGGGAAAGGGCAGGCGGGGGGGGGGTGTTGGCGTCAAGGTTCAGTTGGTGTGCACTTGTGGGAGAGTTGCAGAGGGCTGTGTGCGACGGGGCGGTCTCCACTCAACGGGACAGTAGGAAGTATGAGGGTTCTGTAGCGCTATAGGACTCTATCGTTTTGTCCATCGAGTCCACAGCTTTTGGACGGAGGACAGAAGTATAGAACCATGGCACAAGCAGAACAAAGAGATTTGTTGTTGCAGTAATTTGAAAAAAGTCCACTCTCTTTCAGTTCTAGGGTTTTACATATCAGAACTCAATAAAAAGTGACCTGATTAAGCCTCAAAAAAATTAAAATTTCACTCAGAGTAAACCAAAACTCACAGCAGATTTCACCTTGTCTGTATTTTAAAAAAATTGAAAAGATGTGTCGGAAAAGAGTCAGAAGTCAAAGAATAAAGAGGTAAGATTATAATCTCAGTTTGAACAGTCAGATGTAAACAATTACCAAGTTATCCACAACAAAAGCTCAATCACTTTTATATTTGTCTCCCGTGGGCGAGGCGGGGGACATAGAAATGCTCTCTGTCTGTCCATCCGTCCGTCCGTGATAGGGGGAGATAAGAGAYGGTTGGTGTCAAGTTCTATCTTGAATAGTTTAGATCTTAGAACATCTTGGAGAAACTTAGAGAAGCTGTCTGGATTGCTGTATTGTATAGAACAGAGGTTCTCAAACTGGGGTTCGTAAAAGGTAACTTGGGGGTCCTCAAAAAAAATTCACTAAATTGCTAATTTGGTTTTTATTTTTAAAAATGCATGGAGAACAATGAACTAATAAAACAAACATAATAAACTTAATAAAAATATATATTCCCATGACATTTAGGGGTTGAAATGAGAAAAAAAAACTTTTAAAACAGCATGAGGTTTATGAGGGGGTCCCTGGAATTTTTTCGCCCTTGTAAGGGG